CCCCCCCCCCCCCCCGCCCCTATAAATACGGCTTCCCGGGCTCTTTGTGGGACCGCGAGCTCGGCGCAGAGCGGTGCTCGCTGTCTGCCCTCGGGTTCCTCAGGCCGTGGGGCCGTCTCGGGAAGGCGGACCCGCGAACGTCCGGTTCCCTCTCTCCGTGACCGTGTCATCTTCACCCCGGACACAGCGACCGTTTCTAAATCACAAGGGCGTGGGTTAGCCTCCCCTAGGACTTCATGTCTGTATATTTCCCCATCCACTGGTGAGTATCCAGAGCCTGCGGCAGGCGCCGGTCTAGCGGCCCGGGTAGCGGGGCTCCTGTGGGCGGTGCGGGCTCGGGGCGCGAGGCATCTGAAGGCGTGGGCTCCCGGCGCCACCCCTCTGCCCGAGCCCCTGCAGGAGTCAACGTCAAGGTTGCAAAGGTGGGGGTGGGGGGAGGTGGTGCCGAGAGCATCCAGACAAAGGAAGTCAACTCGGAACCTTCACTGAAGTGACGGCCCGAGGGTGTGTGTGTGTGCGGTGGCGGCGGCGGCTGGGCGAGCCGGGGTCCCGCCTGAGCGCTCCTAATGAAACCCTCATTGCGGAGGGCTGCAGGAGCGCGCACCCTGCCCGGCGGTGGGGGCTCCGGCTCTCCCAGGACCCCTCCCCTTTTTCTTTTTGTTTGCATGCAAGTCTCGGCGTCGAGGCCGGCTGCAGGGCCGCGGGAGGGGGGTGAGCTGGTGCCGCGGTATCTTTTGCAGAGCTCCGGGGGATGAGAGGAGGGAACGCTCTCCCCACACGTAGCTACAAGCAGCACGGTGCATCCTCTCGACCCCTTACCCCCAAAACCGACGCGCCTTTGTGGGCGCCAAGGGTGGGAAGGAGCCGCCCTCCTTGTGCGGAGCAGTGGGGAGCCGGGATCCGGCGGGAGACAGAGGTTTGTCCCTAGCCTGGAGGGAGGGATGCGAGAAGAGGCCGCTGTCTGCTGGGGCGTGCGCGCCAAGGTTTCTTCCTTCCTGCGCCGGGTAGAGAAGGAGCGACCCGAGCGCGCCTTCGCCTTCTGTGCGGCGATGTGGAGTGGAGCGCGTTCCCAGACCTCGGAAGGCGCCCAGCCAGGGAAAGCAGGACTTCCAGCCGGGCGGTGCTTCCTAGCTCAGGAACCGGAAAGTTCATGCTTTTCAACTTCCAACTTTTTGGACCCGCGACACAGCTCCGGGTGAGGACAGAACGCCCCTCTGAGGGGCGAAGAGCCCGAGCCCGGAGCGCATTCTCAGTGGTTGTTCCTCTGGTCCCCTTTTTGGGGCTCGGCCACCCCTTTCCAAGATTCCAGAGGGAACTGCCTTGAAGATCGCAGGTCCTGAACCCAGACTTGCCCCCTAGCATACTCTTCCTTAGTCTCCGGTCTTGCTTACCAGCCTGGTTCTGAACTCTCAGAACAAAGCAAAAATCCCCCACCCCCCAACTCAGAGGCTCTTTATGTTTCTTCTCTGAGCGCTTCCATCTCTTTCCCCAGGTGTGTGGCAGCCAGCTGCCTTAAGGCTTTGAAGCCTGTGGAGCCTTTGAACCTCTGCCCTTAAAATTTAGCAAGGTACATGTTAGGGCCCCTTGGGTGTATTAGCCCCTGAGAAGTTAAGATTTAGCAGTATTTAAATGATCAGAATTTCATAGTTGGCAACACTTTTTCCCAGCCGTTAGCCCTTCCCATAACCGTGAGAGGTGCATTGTTAGCATCTTAGTGACAAACAGGGCACCTGTGGCTCAGAGAGGTTAGGTGACTTATTCAAGACCACACAGCTCTCAGGCAGCACAGCCTAGACCAGAATCTACTACTCCTGCTTCCAAATACAATGCCATTTTTACTTTATGCAGTAAGCAAAAAATGAAGAGGCTTCTGGTATTCCTGTTGCCTTAGATATAGTCTCTTTCAAGCCTTACCCCCCCCCCGCCCGCTTTATTTTTCTTTTGTAACCACAAACACAGACACAATGGTAAAAATACTGGGTTTGTGTAGTTGGTTCCTGGGTTTGCTGTGTGTATTTGGCATTATGTACACAGGACCCCAAGTGTGCTGATGGCTTGTGCAAGGATAATGGAACGTTTGTGTCCTGCTTAGAGAGTACAAAGCACTTTCACATGTCAGCCATTGGTGGGCCAGCCTGGCCCCTCTGGAAATTTCCTTTGCAATCAGTGTCCGGGTATCCTTAAGGCTTTAATCCACGGGATGTTTTTCAAGCTGTGAGCTCGCAGCTGCTGCGGCTGGGGCTGGAGAAGGGGTTGGATGGCAGATGTGAAGCTTGCAGAAGAGCTGAACCCTTGGGGCTTTGAGTGTAACATTTTGCCAAAAGGAGCAGCAGACAGACAGACAGACATTTAGGAAAGGCAGCAGGATTTGGACTTTGTCTCCCTGAGGCTGGCCTGTAACTCTTATTATGTAATAATAACGTGCAGTTCCTTTTTGGAAATTCATGGGAGGATTACTTGTATTCTTAGGCCCAGAGGTGAAAGGAGACTTGGCTGAGTTGGTTTTAATATAGACACATGGATTCACTGTCATGTTTTTTTGTTTTTGTTTTTTTGCTACTAGTTCTGGCCTTTAAAAGAAAATGCAGCATTGCCCTGTGTCCAAGGGGCTGTGGTGTACAGGAAACGGGGGAGAGCTGGGTTGCAGGCCATGGGTTTGGTTGAGGGGCTGGAGTGGGAGCTCTGTGATATGGACCTTGAAGGTGCTTCCTTATTAGGGTGGGAGCTTGTGTGGCTGTGAGCTCTGTTTAGAGCACCTCACATCCTGTCTCCAGTCTGTCCCCTGAGCTCACATTAGCAAAGCCACTGAGAAGAATGTGAAAGTGTGTGCATGTGTTGATTTTGCTCTGGGTTTCTTGGCAGCCCTGACTATCTGAGATCAGCCGAGATGACTGAGGTGATGATGAACACCCCATCCATGGAGGAGATTGGCCTCAACCCCCGGAAGGATGGCCTTTCCTATCAGGTGAGTTTGGTATTTGCTCGGGTCAGAGGTGGACTTAGTTTTGCATCTCAATGGCCCCTGTGAGGATGGTGTGACCTGGAGAAAGTTCCCTAGTGCCAGTAAGCCTCAGTTTCTTCATCTATAAAATGGGACCACAGGGTTGTGGTAAAGATTCAGTGGGACAAAAGGATGAATTTAAGGCATTGGTAATGTCTGGGACACACACAGGTCCAGCAGACAGTAGCATTGTTATTAATGGCTTTATGGATGTACCCACTCACAGCAGCATGAGTGGAAGAGATTGAAGCAGTCAGTTCAGACCAGAACTTCCCTTCCCAGCTAGGCTTTGGGCAGCAGGAATGTGGCAGGGAGGGGTAACTCACAGGCAAGGGTGGTCGGGTAGGGAAATACCGGTGTCAGACACTGCTTGCCTGCTTGGGTTGATGACTGAGCAGCCGATACAGAGTTGATGTTGAGACTATTTAGAGTTGAAGAGGAAGCCATCTCAGGGGCGCTGTTGCTGAGATTGATCTTAGAGATCATCCTCTCTGGTGGATACAGAATGCGCAAGGACCACACAAAGGGGCCAAATGGACAGCTTTGCACTCTCATTCCAGTGACCTTTCTGGCTTGCCATGCCCAGCTGGGGAGCATTTTGTTTACCTGCGGGGGCGGGCTCTGAACTGGTGGTTTGGGATTGTAAGGAGAGTTCCTTGGCTGCTAAATGTGAGGGAGGGAGGAGTGTGTTTGTAAGGGAAGACTTTGGGGCTGCCTCAGGGAAGATGCATGGGGCTGGCAGGAAGAGCTACCATGCTGCGGGCCGAGCATGGCACAATCATCACCTTCCCTACTCTTTCCAGGACTGCAAGGTGGGACTTCTCACCCACCGCACAGACCTAGACACTGGCTGAGCCTGAGTCGGGGACTTGTGCCTCTCCAGCCCCAGAGCCGTGTGTCGTGTGTTCCCACCTTAGATTGGTTCTGGCTACAGTCTGAGAGTTACTTGGCTGGCGGTTCCTTAGAGCTGCTCCAGGGGCATTTATTTTATAAAGAAGGAAGCAAACAGAAAGCCAAAGTGGGTGCAGTAGAGTGATCAAAGAGCCAAGATGAAAGCCAAGGTGGAGAACCAGCTTTAGACACACTTGGGAAGTCCAAGGGGGCCCCTTTGTTTTGTGTCAATACAGGTAGGCCCTTCTTGTTGGCTGCAAATAAGTATTCCATTGGCATGCAGTGGGGAGCAGGTAGAGGGAAGAATGCTCTTTTCTGGGCTTGTTTCATGCCCTCCTCCCCTGCAGTGAGTCTGAGACTGACGGTCAGTTGAGGGTCCCCCCACCAGAAATTTCCTGGCCTACCAGCCCCAGTGTTTTGGAGACCAGTTTCCAAGCCTCTGAGTCAGACCGAATCTCTCTGTGGTTGCAGGTGAGATTTTCTTTCAGTTCTGGGTTTTAGATTTCCATCACAGAACCTTTCCATATGCACTCGTCAGTGTGTGTTGGGTGTGCTTTCTACGCTCCTTTTAATCGTGTCCCAGGGTAATGGGCCTGGCATTTGGGGGCGGTTTCCCTAGCCCTTTGAAACCTTAAGGTTACCCCTCTGGATCTGTGGGTTAGTGCAGGTAGGTGATAGAGGAAGGGCTCCAGTGGCAGGACTGGGGGTGGAATAAAGTCACACGAGGGCTCTTAAGGTATCTCAGTGCTGCCTGAGAAAAAGATCCTTAGGTCTTCCATTGTGGTTCTGGACTGAGGGCTCAGATCTCACAGCCCTCAGACATTCTGTTCCTGCCTCCTAGGTGGGCAGGAGCTACTGCCCAGAGCCAAAAGATCTTACTTGGAACCTCATAGCATTCTTGTTACAAGATGATCTCTGAAAGGGCTCTTGAATGCCTGATGAAGAGAAAGGGGAGAGGTTGTGGTGTGTGTATGTGTTGTTTGTTTTTTTTTGTGGTACGAGGAGTCCAACTCAGGGCCTTTACACTGAGCTACATTCCCAGTTCTTTGTTTTTATTTATTTATTTTTCGGTACCAGGGATTCAACTCAGGACCTTGAGCTTGCAAGGTAGGCATGGTGCTGCTGAGCTAAATTTTTATATTTTGTTTTGAGATGGGCTTGCTAAGTTGCCAAGGTGGAACTTGTTAGCCTGGTCAGTCTAGGTGTGGGTGATACAGAAGCCATAGCCAATCTAGGTTTGGATGGCAGCGATGAAATTGCAGTTAAAGTATCTGAAAAGACATGGAAGAAGAAAGTCAGGGTAGGGCTGAGCTTTGAAAGATATCGAGGACTTTGAAGGAGCAATACTATCTCTCAGTTGTGTTGCAACTTCCAAATATCCCTCTGCTGGGTTCTGTTTATGCCAAACGTGAGGCTGTGTGGTGAGTTAGTCTGACAGTTGTCCAGTGATGGATATTTTCAGGGTTCATTCTAAGCTCGTAGTATCCAATTAAAAGCTTTCCCACCAGAGCTCTGAAGATTGGTTGGGCCTGGTACTTGGATCAGGCCATTGTGCATGCTTGGGCTTGGCTCAGAGCTGAGGGTGGGAATTTCAGAACTCTGTTCTTGGCTTTAGTCCTGAGGATAATAATAGTATGTGGCTTTTACTGAGACCTGTTTTTCCAAGGAACTGAGAGAGGGAAGGAGTCATCAATCCCAGCTTGGTAGATGAAATAGAATCTCAGGCTTGCGATTTGACCTTGAGACAAGGTCAACAAATAAATGGCCCATTGGACTTTGTTAGTCATTCACCCACCTTCCACACCAAGAATGAAGCCTTCCTATTTTCTCCGTGTTGAGTGTAACCTCTTTCACTGCCTGTAGCATTTTGTACTTTGGATGTTGGGCTGGGCTTCAGGGATGCAGGTCCTGCCTTACCTTCTCCTTGGCTTGGTCCTCAAGGGCAAGGGAAGCCCATCACCTTTGTACCCTTCAGCCATCACCCGTCTGGCAGAACTTTCCCAGCAGGTGCACAGAGGACGGTGGTTGACTCTCCCAATTGGGAAACTGGCCACTTTCCCTTCTGAAGGGCCTGCTCAGGCCCATGCCTCTCGAGGCTCAGGTGACGCATGTCCTTCTTGTCCCCTGAAAGATTTGGATCAGCTCCATCTATTGTCCTGCAGTCATTAGTGCCAGTCTGCATGAATACATGAAAATCTTCAGAGCCGATACCTTGTTTTGTCTTGACATCCACTTGGAAGTTAGTCAAACAAGTGAAATCCATGCCTGTACATTAGTTAGCAAAATTATGACACCTCACAGGGTGGGTGAGTAAATGCTTACTAGAAAGCCTGAGTATATTTTGGATGGGCCGTGGGCGGCATTCAGCTATCAGGGCTGAGTGAGAGGATGTCTGTGTCCCTGAGGGAGGCAGCTTCCTCATGACACTGTGTCTGGGGGCCTCCGAGTCATCGGTCGGTGGGACAGGAATGTCTAGAAGCACATGGGCAGCTGCCTGGTGGAGCCTGCTCCCTCCTTGGCCCTGGACTCAGAGAATGTAGTGTTTGGCAATGCTTCCCTGGTGGGGTCTCCTTCCACTCTGGGTCTTGGGAGGTTGCCTGTGGGCGCTCACACTGCACATACCCAGGGGGCACTGGGATTCTGGCCTTGCTGCCTCCCTCCCTCTAGCACAGCATGAGGAGGCTTTCAAGACTTATCATCCACACCAAGGTCTAGATGCAGCTATGGATCTGTGGTTTTCATTTAAACTTGTCCCTTCTACAGCGTCTGGACCAAGGTCTGATAGTGCTTTCTCTCCTTCCCTGGGCTATTTAAACCCCTCTCTGTTCCAGCACACATCCCTGACTGGCTGCCTTGTATCCCATCTGCTACATGGTCGCATACTTACTCTTGGTCACATACACCTGCCGCTTGACATCATCTAGCAGGCAGGCAGGCTTCAGGCTCACCTTCCTGGGAAGATGAGGGAGGCTGCCCTGCCAACCAGATGGAGCCGTTTCTTCATGCTCCGTGGTGTTCCTGGGCCCCGCACACTCCTTTTGATCTGAGCTGAGCTTCCTGCATTGCCCCTTCCTCTCCCAGGGTAAAGGGTAAAGGACAAAGGGTAGCAGGAGGAACCAAAAATCAGCTGAGCTTTCTCAAGTCTGCCTGTTATAAACTTTTCACATCCGCAGTGGCTCAGCTGTAGCTCTACCCTAGGGAGAGGACTGAAGGACTAGTGAGGGCTGAGATCTGGCCTCCCCAGGACAGTATCTCCTGTCCCTACCACCTCTAAGGCCCAGCCACAGGCAACCCTTGCTGTGTTTCCTCCTCTGTGTCTCTCTAGTCCCTGGAGTTAGGCAGAGCCTCACAAACCTTCCTCACTCACATCTGTGAAGGGCCCATCTTCACAGAGACCCGAGCCCGGCTTCACTGTGCTGGGCCCTCAGGTACAGCACGCACAGTGGACATGAGGGGTGGGTTCAGCGTCCTTTGATCTTGGGTTAGGCCCTAGGGAGGCTCATGCCCTGCAACCTATCTCGGTCCCCAAGCCCCTGTCACGAGGCCACTCTGGGTGTAATTTGTCAGCTACATGGCTGCTCTCCTTCCCACTCCCCTTGTTTCATTGGCTGCCCAGCTGTGGTACCCCACATGCCCGCCTGAGTTTCAGAGGCCCTGCAGAGTGGCTGCATGCAAGTCCCGTGGTCCCCAGGAAATCATCTTTCATAACGTCCAACTTAAAAAAGCCTCACTGGTCCCTGGAGAGACATAAAGCTAAAATTCCCGAACACTTGGCAGGAGATGGCCAGCCATGGACACATGTTACTGGCCTGGAGACAAGTTTTTTTTCCCCGTCTCGACTCTCTCCACCTCTCTCCTTGCTAAAAATCATAGTAAAGTGATGGACACTGGGCAGCGAGGGCCACCAAGCTGAGAAGCACCGATCCATCTCTCAGAGTGGTTATGGCTGCTTCTGAACCACCGTCCACCTTGTTCAGCCCAAGTCCACTTTGTATGAGGACCCAGCAGCTTCCCTCCTGAGCTGGAGGCCTGGACACAGTCACTTTCAGTGTTGGGATTCAGGCCTGCGGAGA